GGAAAAGCAAAACACGGGCTGGCCTAAAGAAAAACACGGTCGTGTCCATATTTAGGCATGACCGTGTTTTGGCCGACGCGGGCGTGTTTTTAACACGTGGCAAGGGCACGGATGGGCAAAAGCAAAACACGGTCGTGCCCTTGACCGTGATTTGCCAGAATCGAGTTTTTGAGGCAGATTCAAGCCAAAGGAGAGGGAGTCGACTTTTTGGAGCAAAAACAGAGTTTTAGAGAGAGAAAGTGCGAAGAACAAACCCTAGGAGCTATTTGGAGTGGATTTCTCACCATTGAAGCCCAGATTGCATCCCCAGGAGTGAAGATTGACATCCCAGAGCAGATTCTTCCCATTGTTAGGAATCTTGATTGTAATTACGTTTGGATTGTGATATTGCTTGATTATAATCGATTGAAGTGTTTTGAATGAGTCAATTGAAGTATGATAATCTTTTATTGATTTCTGCTGCAACCTGAGATAGATAAAATCTGATTTGGTTGTTAGAGCTTCTTCAATCGGTAGTAGTGAATCGATTATACGAGAGTTAGTCGATTCACTGCTTTGTACTGGAATCTAATTCCAGTAGTGGAGTTCTGTGTTCATTGCCTCAGCGTTCTATCCCGGTGAAGACTAGTCGTCTGCGGGGTGGTTTGACTGAGAGGGCTTGGTCAGCTTAAGAGATTCCAAGCTACTGTCGGATCTTCCGCAGTATAATCAGCAGTAAGGCAACCAAAAGTAATTACAGCTGTAACCTAACTAAGGAGCTAGGGGGACTCATTCCCGAGTGACTCTTCCTTTGCTTTAGAAAACCGAACCATTTCCTGCTTTCTTACTGCTTTTACTTAAATCAACAATCACTCAACTTAGTTTGCTAGATAACAGATATACACGGAGTAGGCAGTAGATCTAGACCTCGGGTTGATAATTAGAGCTTGCCTGTTACTGCATTTCCGGACTGCGATTACACTTGGTTGCAGTTTGGTGTTGTGTTTTAGTGTGTCAATATTGGTGGCATTTTATCTCATGGATTTGCATGACGTTCACGTTGCATTGTTTTCGACTTGCTAATGAGGCTCGATTATTGAATTCATCATGCAAAGGATAGAAGTCAAGCAAGGCTGTCCACAATCCTAGTGCTAAAAGGACAATGCTCTTTTAGTCCCAATAAATCATCTTCAACCATGAGGCAAATTTGAGTGGTAAAAAGCTATAATGAGTTTTAGGGGGCTATTTTAGCTCTTCTCAGGCTAACCACAACCCGATGGGCAAAAATTGGAGGTTTTAAGGCTATTTTAGCCTTTTAGCCCTCTCGAAAACAGAAACAACTGCAACCCTGAAGGCTAAAAGTTTATGTTTCGTATTTAGTAATCATAACTTATGAATATTTAAAATTATGTTTTTTACTTTAAAATTTATATATTCATTCACGATAATTAAATACGAACATTCCGATAAAATTTGAAAAAATTCTGAGATACTTTGTTTTTAGTTGAAATGGAAGAAAGTTACACGGAAATGAACTTCGTTCATCAAAGTTACCAAGATTTTGAACAATTTCGGAGATACCTTTTTTTTAGTTGAAATGGAAGAACGTTCCAATTTTTAAATATAGTTTTTTGTTTTCAAATAACAATCAAATGGTTGAAAGTTACAACGAAAGCAACTTCGTTAGTTAAAAGCACTCACAACACATAAGTATATTCAATTTAAGTACTAAAACAAAGAAAAGTTAAAATAATTCCCACCATTTGAGCTCTCACCCTTTTAGTCCCCCTCTTAAAACCCCCTCAAATAAGAGCTAAAATAGCCCCCTAAAACCTCTTATAGCCTTTTACCCCTCAAATTTGCCCCATGGTTGAAGATGCTTTATTGGGGCTAAAAGTACATTTTGACCTTTTAGCTCTAGAATTGTGGACAGTCTTAGGGGGTTTAAGAGGGAGCTAAAATGGTGGGGATTATTTTAGCTTTTCTTTGTTTTAGTACTTAAATTGAATATATTTGTGTTATTGTGAGTGCTTTTAACTAACGAAATTCCTTTTAGTTGCAACTTTCAACCATTCGATTACTATTTGAAAACAAAAGTATATGTTTAAAAATTGGAACGTTCTCCCATTTCAACTACAAAAAAAGGCATCTTCGAAATTGTTCAAAATCTTGGTAATTTTGATGAACGAAGTTCATTTCGATGTAACTTTCTTCCATTTTAACTAACAACAAAGTATCTTGGAATATGTTCAAATTTTATCGGAATGTTCGTATTGAATTATCGTGAATGAATATATAAATTTTAAATTAAAAAAAATATAAGCTTAACTATTCATAAGTTGGGATTACTTAATACGAAACATGAATTTTTAGCCAACAGAGTTGCTGCTGTTTTTGTTTTCGAGGGGGCTAAAAGGCTAAAATAACCTTAAAATCCCTAATTTTTGCCCCTCGAGTTGTGGTTAGCCTAAGAGACTTAGATGTCGTTTGGAAGTTGTGATCAGGGGCGGACCCAAGGAGGTTTGGGGGTGTCCCCGGACACCCCTAAATTTTGAAAAAACGATTATCCAACTTCCGGTGGTAATTTACGTATAGAAAAAATTATAATTAATAGTCCGGGACACCCTAAAATTTGAAAAAAATCATTATACTACTCTCGTTTGTAGTTTGCGCATGAAAATATAAGTGGTAGTTTGGGTAATTCAAACCCGAGACACTACTATTATTAATAAATATAATTTTCATTAGGCTACAAATTTTTTTTGGTTCTATTCTAAACACTGTGTAATAGCAAAATTGTAGGAAACATAAATATTGGGGTGGTTAGGAGGTTAGGCAGCCGATTAGTGCCAAGTAGACTAGTAGGGTATCATTAGGTTTCTGGGCTTATTTCCATATAAATATGTATTTGAGTCATTGCGTTGGATTTGGTCAGAAATCAGTAATCAAACTCTATTCAGTTTATCACTCTTCTTCTCCTAATCCCTAATTCCCAATTCTATTCTTCCTATCTCAATTTCCCAATTATTCTTCTCAAAATCCCTAATTATTTCTACCAATTCCTAAATCTCTTTCTAATCTATCTGGCTACATTAATCACAAGTTACCGCAGAATCATAGTTCCTTCAAAAACCCTAGTCTCTATCTTTAATTATTTTCAAAGCCTAACAATTAATCTAATTACAAGCTACCCTTAATTTATGGGTGTACGACAAGTGTTGAAAGTGTCTTTTCAGCTTTGAGTTACACCGAGAACAAATTTAGAAGTCGAATATGCATTTGTTCGTGAATGATTGTCTAGTAGGATATACCGAGACAACTTTGTTGAGCAATGTAGACACCAAGTGTATTTTACAATTTTTTCAGAATATGAAAATACTTATGAACTTTTTTTAACTTGTACGAGTTGACTATTTTCTTATTTAAGAATTATTTAATATTTATTAATTATTTTTTGAAAGAGGACACCCCTATATAAAATTCCTGGGTCCGCCACTGGTTATGATTGTTAGAATTGTGTTTGTTGAATACATGTATTGTGCACAATACAATGTTTGGAAGTGCCAAAATGTTAAACAATGCATGCATTGTTATAGGTAGGTCCCACCAACAACCACAAAAAATGATGAATTATACAATCTCAACTAAAAGTTTGAGGGAGCCGATTTTTGGTTCGCTTGCTCCTCTCTGTTCTTCTTTCCACCTCCACATGCTTCATCCAAAACTGGGGGCGATTCGGAGATGCATGGGCCTATGTTGTCTAGGATCGAGTTTCAGGGAGCTTGTGAGCAGGGAAGTCATTTTTGTCGATGGATTCTAGCCGTTTGCTCAGATCAGTTGTCGTTTGTCACTACTCTGTCCGTTTCTGGGATGCTCCCTGGTTTATTTGTTGGTGCATGTGAACTTTGGAGATCCGGGTTTGGTCCTCCTCACCTTCTCTTCCTGCTGTCGACCTGTCGTCTTCTCTTTGCTGTCTCTAAGTCCTTCTGGTGGTTATTTCCCGGCGAAGGTTCGCTGAGTTCGTTGGATTTGACGGCGACGTGTTTGAGGGTTTGGAGGATGCATGCGGCTGCCATCACTTTGTGATTGGGCCGGCTGGGCTAGGGTTTTCTGAGGGTAAGCTATGTGGTCCATGTGTTTGGACTATGCCTTGGGCCTCTTTTGTTTTGGGCAGTTGTTGGCTTACTTTTAGACTTTCTTGTTCTGTTTCCTTCCTTTCAGTGTTGTACCTGTATCAACTCTGTACACCTTGTTTCGTATTAATGAAATGACCACTCTACTTAAAAAAAAAAAAAAGCACAAACAAGAGAGAGATGGTCATGCGCCATATGCCTGCATTCGAAAGGGTTATTTTCTACCTCTGGTTTATTTGAATCGTCATTGGCTGGCTTCGGTTGGTTTTTAATAAATTTGGTGGATTTTGAGGAAAGTGAATGGCTAATTGTTGCCAACATTAAAAAACAAAAAAAAAAAATTAAAATTACATTTCTATAAATTTATACATCAACTTCGCCTCCCATAGCAAAAGTCGTCGGGATCGTGAAAGCTCTCACTGCCAGCAACCACTCCCTACCGCCGATCACCGCTGATCGCAACTGATCAAGCCGATGGTCCACTTATGACTCAAACTCAACTTTAGAATAGGTACGAATCCAATTTTTGACAATTTTTCCTAATTTTCGACATTTCTTTAAATTTGCCAACCATTTTTGCATTGGACCAAAAACTTCTGACGAAGAAAAAAAGACCGAACATAGTTGTCACTTTTTTTTTTTTACCACATCAACAAAAATCAACATCACTTTGACCAACATTTGATCAACCTTTACATCTGACGGACAACTAAGGAGTCAATATACATATCACAAAAGTCGCATAAGTGCGTACACACAATACAAATATATATAGAACGAGCATCAGACAAAGTACCAAGACTTCGCTCCTGACATTATTCAGCCCTGCACAAACTATACAATACAAAGAGGAAACCAGCTGTTGCTATGCCTATACACTAAAATTCCTCACATGGACAACTTCAAATCTATTAAGCATTTCGTGGAGAGATTTGCCAGTGAATCTGCAATCACTCTTGCGCTGGACTTCATATAACCACCTGAAACCGGAAGTTTTAAAGAGTGAGATGAGAGTCTTACTGGAGTACTGTGGCCAAGAAGCTAACTGTGACAGCCACATCTATCCTTTCAATGATGTATTTTGAATTGCAAGCTTTGAACAATAATACAGAAGAAAATAAGGAACTGGAACACTAGACACTTGGTTTTCAATCACATCATTCTCCATTGTTTTCATTTTTTCCTGCCTTCCAGTCATCGAGTAGGAAAGTACAATTCTCTGCACTGATGCATATGGAACTACATTGTTTACCGGTAAGACTCTTATGGTATATACAAAAAGGATTCACTTATTTATTTTTATACCAGGCATAAAAATGAAATTATGCTTCACATATAAGAGTCTTAGAATACTCAAGAGTACTTATTGATGAAATTGACATGTTATTCAACAGCATAGCTCAAGGTGCATGATTCATACTTCCACAGCAGAGTCAATTAGATGTAAAATGCAACCTCCATTTAACCTTCTAATTCAAACCAACAATTCGATTGCACCAAATTTAGGAAGGGAAATCAAAACTTTCTGTTGTAGGGCGGGGGACATGCACAGATCAGATGCATAGAACCAACAGCTTTCAGCAAGGAAGTCATATGACTGCTAACCTGACGTCAGCATGACCAGGGGTACGGTTCTTTCACGAGCAAACCTAAATACCTTCTCATCCCTGTTGATTATCCCAGCAGGACTAATCTGCAAACGGAGCCATATCACAATGAAGTTCAAGAACACAAATAAGTTAAATCCTCAACGCACTACTTGATGTTGCTCACTGTGTCTGTTTTCCATGGTTTTTGACGGATATGAGAACTTACAAGTTTTTTCACCAAGTTATTTCTATGTTAACTGCTACTGGAAAACTATGTGAATAATGTAAGAAGCAAAGAATGCATATACGGGAAAAAAAATATAAGGGGCCTATTTCACGTTATGTCAACTGCACAATTATGTATGACAATTAAGCAGAAGCACTTCCTTGAAATACAGTTAAGCATAGCAATCGCATATGGTTTCTCAAGGAAAAAATAGTTGGCATGCTGAACAGCTAAGCTATATTCGTAAAGAGCATGTATTGCTTCCAGGAGAATTCAATGAGTTGGTACCTTTAACCTGCCCAATGGATCTCCATCAAGTATATCAGTACCAGCGTTGTAAATTATCAACTCAGGATCAAACATTCTACCAGCAACCTGAGGTTCACATTTAAAGATAAATGAGTTGGTCTATCGGATTCGACTACATAATTTTCTATATAAAGGGACAGAGGAACAACAATGAATCTAAACTAAGGAATGCTGCAAACCATATTTATAAGAAGACCAGTATAAAGAGACCTTCGAAGCAAACTAAATAGCTAACAAATGGAAGTCACACAACCAGAAAATGTTTTAAAACTGTTTTTGGTAGCCTGAGAGGCAGTACAGTCTGAAGTGGACAATGGATGTTTCTTTTTCTGTTCTTTTTCGTTTTCATTTTTCATAGTTGAAGGGTTCGGGTTGGGGATTGATTCCATGATCTATGAGATGGGCGTGTGGCTACCCAGCCAGTCCACTACATGGGCTACCAGCGATATGATCAGTTGAGGTCGTGTAATGGACAAAGAACAAAGACCCAACACGAGCAAACATCGTTTTTTAGAAGATTTGGAGAAAAAGGAAGTATCATGGAGAAAATAAATGCTTCCTCTCTGTTGAAATGCTATTTAAGAAACTCTACTGGAGAGCTTGCTTCTATGTTGAATGAAACAGTCAACATGAAGATGAGCATACCAAACATGACATCCCAAAGCTAAAAAGAATACACCGATATAGAATAAAGCTAAAAATAAATATATAGTACCTCAAGTGCATCATCTAATCTGCTCAAGTAGTCATCTGTTGTTGTTCCACTCTGTTCAGATAGTTGATATAACAAATAAGATGCTGGATAAGATAAAGTGATGTGGAAAATATATTCTAGGTTACCAGGAAAACGGCGAGAGCATACCATGACTTCAACTTTCTGATCAATGTATCTACTTGCCTCATAATCCTTCCAAAGAAACAAGAAATTAGACCATGGGAATGAACTTCTCAATATTTATGGACAAATAATCTACAGTTTCAACAATTGTGTTGTTAAATGAATGCAGAAAGTGACCATAACCAGCAAATAACCATCAAGTTGGAAGCTTCTGCTCCTTACAAATGGATATATTCCAGGATTGTACATATCCAAAATATAGACCCTTTCTGTCAGAAAACATCCAAGAAGTCCGAGTCATATTGGAATCCAAATTGAGCTCAGGCATCATAACTAAAACTGAGTAATCATACTGTCAGCGGAGAAGTCCCTTTCATGGCCGTTCCCTTGGTGAGCATCAAGGTCAATAATCATCACCCTATCAGGTATATCAGGAGAAGAACCAAATCCCATTGTAGAGCATAAATGTCAGAGCTATGTCAAGTGGGAAATTATGTGTAATTTCATCTTAGCTGATCTGGTACCTGGATATATTCAATCGAGCAAAAGCATAGTGTATGCAAAGTGAAATATCCGCATAAACACAAAATCCACCTCCTCTTTCACTGCTACAGTGATGGAACCCTCCCCCCACATTGACAGCACATCCTCGTTCTTTAGCAAGCTTAGCAGCCAGCACGGTTCCTCCTACCTGCAACAGGGTAAAATGAGCTAACAGAAAAAGCATATGGCAGTTGAAATGGTACATACTAACCAAACTACAACCACACCTGCTTGCGAAAAGGATATAGAAGTTTCTTCTGCACAAGACAATTGGGGAACATGGCAACAGGAGGAACCTGTACTGTATAGTCCTAATCAGTTGCAATGACAAGATCCAGATGTACACCCCATAATATAGGCAGGAGAGATATTCCTTTGAGGAAGCAGATGATAATCTTTACAAACTCAACCAAAAAGGAAGATGCAAGAGAGATGGAACGCCAAAATAACCTCAACCATCATGGCAACATTAGGGCTGCTCTTTAGACTTTCCAGGTACGCTTCAGAATGAACCTGTCAATGACTACTAATCAGCACCTCATAGCTGTTCTGCATACAAACCGCCACAAGTTCGCATACGAAGAACATTGTACAGGAGTTGCTGAAATTACCACCAGCAGATCATCTTTAGAAGCTTCGATTGGCTCAACAATTCTTTTCTTATCGAGAACACCAGCAGAGATCAAGAATTGGCAAACTCGGCCCCATTTTGAAGAATCAAACGGATGCCTACAAGTGAAAAGCTTCGAAAGAGTAAGCAAATGAAGTCCCGTACAAGAGGGACTGACTGAAATTCAATCATTAGGTTCTTACAGCTTTTCAATGCCCAAAAATGCGATGTCATAAGCGGGAGAATAAATTAGCGGGACCTGCGCGAGCGACCATGATAATTCTTGATGAAGATGGAAAAGAAACTATTAAGTGCTCAGACTAGTGAGAGGAAGCACGACGGGCGTAATTCACTGACCTTAGTTGGAGAAACGTCGAAGTAAAGCTTGCTCGCAAAGATTCTCTTTTGCCGGAGAGTTGCAGCGTCGCCACTAGACATGGAAGAGGACGACGACGCCATTGTTAGAGACCTGACGTAGGTAAGTAGAGAATGAGAAACTTCAATGGCGGCAATTGTGTGGGCCGTGTACAGAGGCCAGGGCTGAATTCCCAAGATTCTGCACTGACTCGGCGTCGAGGGTCGGGATGGCGCGGGAGCACGGAGAACCATGGAAGCTTCCTTTCCCTCTTCTTCTAGCGAACGCTACTGACCTCAGTTATTCGTTGATTTTTTATAAAATAAAGTTATTAGAAATGTTTAAAAACAAAAAACAAAAAACAAAAAAAACGGACTCTGTTCATTACGAATTTTCCGCTTGTTACTGTTCACAAAGGGGATTCGATGCTCTGTGAGAAGTTTCACGTGAGCCCATATTATTTTTGTTGGGCTGACCAAGCGTGACCGTGGATACGCTTTTAGTTCCTAGGGTGAATGAGCTCATGTTAAACTGACCGCCACTGATTTACATCTCTTCTAATTATTTCAATTGACTCCATTTTTGCTGAAGGGGTATTGCCGGTATTCAGTTGCAGAACTGACTGGATAGAGTCTTCAATTGGAGAGCTGATTAGTGGATCAATCGCTCATCCTCTCACTTCCCCTGATCAATTCAAAAACATAAATAAATGAATTGAGGGTTTCAATTTCCATTATCTTTCACCTCTCCGAACCCACTCAACTCATGCTGGCGGATGATGGCAGCGGAGATTCAGCCTCCTCACACCATTTGTTTCCAGTGAACATTATTCTACTTCGACCATTCCCAACTTTGTTTCCTTTGAACATTATTCTGCTTTGTGTGCAATTGGATTGTAACTAAGTATGTACATCAATATTTGATGTGTGTCCCCAGAATACCATCATTAGCAAGGAGAACGTGCTACTTCTTTTGCAAATGATGATCGTTATCTGCCTCCTGATTTACGTGGCTAAGCTCTGCACCTCCATTTGTTGTACTTCCCAAATGCTGTGGTTTGCAAGAGGAAATCATATCAATGCTATGACTACAGCCAAGTAGGTACTATAACTGAGTTCCATTATGGCTGCTGCTTCCCTCCAGTAAGTTTCATGAACTTGATTTTTTTTGTTTACACTGCGTTTTCAGTGAAAACTGATAGCACACAACCCTGCCGTCTTGCTGCATTTTTGCACAGTTGCGTCTTTGGGAAGTGCACTCTCACTTGATATCCCTCCTTGCATTGCCTCTTACCCAATCCGGAATAACATTGCCACTTAACCAATCCGTAATAGCAATCATGGTTCTCGCCTGTAGTAGTAACCTCTTGAAAACCTATCATGTAAAAGGATTTGGTTAGTTTTGTGTATTTATTTATTTATATGAACTTTTAGTTCTATTGTTTTTTTTTTCTTTTTCTTTTTGCTTCTATGAACAACTGATAACTTTCCATCCTGCTGAATTCATTCTCATATTCGTCGAGAAAACTTTAATGTATGTATGAGGTTTGTTTTGCTTTCACGAGTGGTTCTAATTGTGTTCTGATTTCTACCAGAGATCTACGTTCACTTATCACGCAAAATATTTAAACTTGAGACCCTTTATTGTTCTTGGCAAGCAGGCGTGTGGGGAATACTTATCTTTTACCCATTCCTTTATTATTATTTTTTTTCCAAAACACTTGGATGGCTCATAATGGGAGTTGGCTTCATGTACAGGGTTCTAAGCGCCCTCGGGCAGGAGTGAAGTCATTTGGTCATGTGTTTAAACTTGAGATTGGTATGACTTATTAATGTGTATGTGTATGATTATGTGATAATATATATGAAATGTGATAAATGATGACCGTGAATGAGAAATGTAATGTGTATGCGATACTAAATAGGCTAAAAAGGAATGTTATTGTACTGGAAAGCCTATGAGGCGATGAAGGGATAATATATAGCATGAATGGCTATATGATGATACTGGAAGAGCCTAATTGGTGATAATGTGATACTGGAAAGCCTGTAAGGCGGAAATGTGATGAGACTAGGATAGCCTAATTGGCTTTTGTGTGATACTAGAAATCCTGTAAGGCGGAAATGTGATACTTGGAAGCCTATAAGGCGATGGTGTGCTTATATGAAATGGTGAATGTGACTAGTGAATGCTATGACTACGTGAATGGTTATGTGTTAAATGATTGATGATATGTTTCCCTCATTAGCTTTAAGTCTTTTGGATCCACTTCATCATCATTCTAATTGATATGGATCTTTTGCTGAGAGTGATATAGTGGAAGAGGATTGGTGTTGCTTTCTTCAACCTTTGATCCTCCTAGGCCCATCTTTCTTCCTTATTTTTGGTATCACGTCCTTGGGTTGCTTGTTGGCTTCCTCGAGTACGATTTCTCCAAAACAAAACCAACTAGAGCGTAATATTTTTATTTTTAAAAATTGAAAATCAAACATAAGAGGTTAGTTTCTTTCAATTACTATCAAAAGTCCCCGGTAACGGTGCCAAAAATTTGATGCGTACTAAACATAAAAGTGACAATAATCCTAGTTGTGCCACTATGGTCATGGTTCGTAGAAGCCCACAATTAACTATATGCTATCCTAACTTCCTTATTCTTCATTGATTAGGTGGTGTTATGAAGCGGAAGCACGCATTAGCTAGTCAAATCTCTATTGCAAGAGGTGCATACACAAGTAGAGAGTGGCCTTAGAGGAAGGGATAGGGCATCATTATAAATTATGTATAGATGCATCTTATTAAGGAGATTGTATGCATGATTATCTAAAAGGAAATAACTAAACATTACTTTCATTGCTTGCATCTTTGTTTCTTTCTTTCTTGCATTAGTAGTATAAGACAGGAATTGGGCACCTCAACCCACCTAGTTTTACTTTTTTGCATTGCATTGCATTAGAACTCAATCAGTTAGGTTTGAGTAGTTACTATTAAAAGACCTCGTGGAATACGACCTAGGCACATCTAAGATTTTTATCACTTGTATGTTTACTGGGCATCAAGTTTCCCATCGTGGCCAACACTATTAAAAGAAAATCGGATTCAGGTCATCCTTCCTATGAGCTTTCAGAGCAGTGATGCAATTGTAGCATATTGCAAAGTGATAAATCCTAGAGATTCCTAGGGTCAAATTCCTCAAGTCTTTTGAGGAAACTACTATGAAACTAATCACTTGTGGGTTGAGGTTCCCGAATGTTGCCTGATTCCGATCTAATTAATCAAATGAAAATAATAAAAGCAAGTAGATTGAACAAGGATTAAAGCAAGTGATTGAGATTATTGTTTAGATAGCTTCATCTGGATGATCATGCATACTAACTCATTAATGACATGCATTCATGCTTATCTTCTATTATGATGCCCCATCCCTTCCACTAATGCATTCCTTATCAAGCTTTCACCATATGCAAAAGGAACTACAACTAGGTAATGTGTGCTTTCACTTCATGCCACACTAATATGTTAAGAACAAGGAAGTAAAGATAACACGTTGCTATTTATGGCCTCTACGAGCGCTTAGCATTGGTTTATGGCTTTGGTGATATAAAAGATCAAGAATTGATCATATACAAGCATGAAAGTTAGCGCATTCAATCCATACATGCATAAAGCATTAGCATACCTTATCAAGAGGAGTTTACTAACAACTAATGATATTATAAGCAAAACCAAGTTAGCACGTCCCTGAACAATAAAGGCTTTAGCTAGCCATAAGAGAGAGATATGATATCACAATTGATGATGAATGCATCTTCATTGAACTTCAACAGAACTTCTCTCCATTGGATGCTGACAAGATTGAATTGATGGATTTTTTTTTAATCCCCACCTACTCGAGGGTTCTAGCTCGAGCTTTCAACTTGAATCTTCTAAGGTGTTTGTGTTGTTGTATATATATTATTTAAAAACTCTAGCCTAAGCCTTTGTTTATAATACAATGAAAGAAGGATTTGTGTGTGTGTAGGGGTGTACATGGGTCGGGTGGTCCGGGTTTAGGCATTTTAATCACCCGACCCATGCACTACGGTTTGAGAAATATTAAACTCAAACCCACCAAAAAAAATTTAAACCCTACGGTTTGTTTCTAATTGGGTTGGGTCTCGGGTTGGCGATATTTTTAGGTAAAAACCCAACCCAACACAAAATATGTAATTATTCTACACCATAAAAATATTTTATAACAAATTAAAAATTCAAACGAATAAACCGAGGTGAAAGGTATCAAAATTCACAAATATTGTTTGAATTTTAATAAAATTTTATTTACTTCAACTTATGTCTAGTTTTTTTTCACGACATTTGTTGAAATAGGCTAAAAAGGTTACAAATGAACGCATCCATAATATGTTATTCTATTAAAATTGTACACAAGAAAAAGAATTACGTGAATCATAGGTATATTAAATCTATGTCTAAACTTTAAGTCGAAAAATGCATTAGATTAGTGAGACCTTAAGAGAAAACATGGCAAAATATCTTAATTTTCTCATAAGTATGACTATATATGACATAAATATTTTTTTGGATACGAACTCATACCAATAATTGGAACACGGATTGGGTCGGTTTCTACGGGTTGGGTCGGGTTCTACGGGTTGTGTAATCCAAAATCCAAACCCAACCCAATAGAGGCGGGTTGTACAAAAGAAAACCCTCACCCAACCCAAAACCTTCGTTTTAGCGATAAATACGGGTGGGTTGGGTCGGGTTGGACGGGTGGGTCGGTTTGCGGGTGTGTTTGTTCACCCCTGTGTGTGTGTGTGTGGGGGGGGGGGGGGGGGGGGGGGGGGGTCCTTCATAAACTTGGACAAAAGCTTCCTTGTTTGACTTGAACTCGAATTCCTTGATTTTGGGACGAAGAAATAAGCTTTAAGAATATTCTAGAACCATAGGGCTAGGAGTGGCCACATGGCGGTTGGACCCACCGTGGGTTTCTTCATGGATCTAGGTTGATTGGCCCACACAAAAGCTCCTAGATGAATTTGGGTCGGACTGGGCGTGCTTGGCGTGCCAGCGGTGGGACAACGGTTGGACCCGCCGTGGTGGGTTCTTTTGTTTGTTCTGATTTTTGTCCAACAAGCTTCTCTTGAGCTTAAACAAACCCAAGTAGCGTTTCAACTCATTTGGACTCCCGTCTGATATGCGGAAACCTCCTTAATCTTTTAGAATTTAACCCTTCAGTCCTCTAAATATATCCATT